CACCCATGCTTTACAACAAATCTACAAAACAAAGCACCTTCCAAATGACTAACAGCTTGCAATGCAGTGGCCAAACATACATGCAAGACAACAGGAGACAGTGTAGCCTGGGTGTGTGAAGCAGTCCAAACCATTGCCAGAGAACAGACGAGCATAAGGGGGAGGAACTGTGGCCAGCCCTCAACTCGCCCCCCCGTTTTAGGCAGGCCAGCGCGTTATGCTGCATTTGGGCCTGGTCACCTCTGTATATCTGCATGACTGGGAGACGGTGCCTCGCCAGTCAGGACACCTCAAAGAATCCTCCTTCCCCCTCTGGAGACCTGGGCTTGTCATGCCAAGGCCCTGCCACACAGACTGCTCCTTCAGGCAGGGGAGAAACTCAGAAAGAAGCACATGGGTTAAAGAAAGCAAATACACTTTCTTTTTGAAGTGTCAAGTATGAAACGGCTCAGGGAGGATACTGACCTAGACCCCTGGAGGCAACATCTGTAGCAATGAGAATTGGAGCCTTTCCAAATTTAAACTCTGAAAAATTGAGAGAAAAAAAAAAGACATAAATACAGTATGTACAGCTCCATTTAAGCACCCATGTAGATTTACTGGCAATGCAAGCTTACCATTGAGAACCCAGTCTCTTTCCTGCTGGCTCTTGTCTCCATGGATTCCCATCGCTGGCCACCTGGCGGTGAACAGGTGACTGTCAGCACATACAAGTACTTTACAAAGTTATTGGACCAGGAGCAGTCACGTTGTGACTTGGCCTTTTAACACTTACCCATCCCTCCTCATCCTCCGGGTGAGGTCATCACATCGCCTCTTTGTCTCTACAAAGATGATGGTCTTGTTCTCTTTCTCACTCATGATTTCCTCAAGCAGACGGATGAGTCTAAAGGGAAAAGAGTCACTCAGTAACTAAAGGTTTAAACAATCTGATGTCAGTAGCTTTGGTTTGACATGTGCTGTTGCTGCCACAGAGGCGTTACCCACTTGTTCTCCTTCTCCCCATCACTGCAGACATCCACTATTTGCAGGATGTTGTGGTTGGCACTGAGCTGAAGTGCCCCAATATTAATCTGCACGTAATCCTTCAGGAAGTCCTCTGCCAGCTGGCGAACCTCCTTAGGCCAAGTGGCACTCCACATCAAAGTCTGACGGTCAGGCTACAAAACAGCACAGCAATCAGCAACACGCTCCCTCAAAGTGACAAATGACTAATGAGGAGGCCTGTCAAGAAAACCTACTCTAATCTGGTCGACAATTTTCCGGATCTGCGGCTCAAAGCCCATGTCCAGCATTCTGTCAGCCTCATCCAGGACAAGGTAAGTGCAACGACGGAGGTTCGTCTTGCCTGACTCAAGGAAGTCGATGAGCCTTCCTGGAGTGGCAATGCAGATCTCCACACCTTTAAAGGACAAGTTTGTTAGATTCATTCTCCTGGGACCCCAAATTTTAGGGGTGTTTTTTTTTTTGGGGGGGTGCTCCTCCATAGATACAAGTGGACTTAAGGCGAGAAGCTCTGCCATATTCTGCAGCCACCTGTTGCACCTGCTGAGCCAGCTCACGGGTCGGTGCTAGAACCAAGCACTGCCAAGAAATTGCCGACTTTTAGTCAATGAACGGAGAGCAACATAGTCGGCTCATCATCACGAACACCTCTTATTTCAGTGCTGAATTAAGATGCATGCTGGGAAACCTAATTTCTGGTCAGACCACTGCAGAGCATCACACTGGTCACTATGTTCTCAGTCGATGGCCAGTACATTGCTATTTAAAAAACAAAACTTTCCCAACTAATACTCGTGTGACATTAAATGACAGCTACTTACAATGGGACCATCTCCACGTTCCAGGAAAGGTTGGTGGTTGATGTGCACAATTGCAGGCAACAGATACTGGAGAGCAAACAAACAGTCACTTTAATTAGCACAGATCAACGCACGATTTTGTCAGTGCTGTAGGAAGTGTCAGAACTTACAGAAAGCGTTTTGCCGGAGCCAGTCTGGGCGATGCCAACCATATCCTTGCCACTGAGAGCCAGAGGCCAGCCCTGAGCCTGGATGGGTGTTGGTTCAGTCCAGTTCTGTTTGTTGATCACATCCATCACATAGGCTGGAGGAAGCAGGACAGCAGTTAATGGAGATGTACCAAACTCTGTGGCAGATTCCTTTATTTACAATTAAATCTTTAGTGGGATATTTTCCAGGTTGCACAACATCAACACTGGGCAGGACTGCCAAGGTATTATTACCATTAGTACTTTGCTTTAAAAAAAAAAATCCTTCAAGTTGTCACAATTTTGAGTGACATACACTGTCCATTTGCATTACTTTTCTTTGCCAACTGTCATCATGTCCTATTCGTAGTATTTTAACCAAGTATCTGTCACGACCCAGAAAAATCAGAAGTACTGTACCACTCAGATACTTAATATCCTCCCATTTGTTGCTGTTTGCACATATTGGGAATTATGCCATCTTCTGGCATTTCCAGTGGTGTAGTTTCACCAGCCGTTTTAAACTTACAAGGAAAGTTGGCCTCATGGAACTTTGTAATGGGATTTGGGCATTCCCTCCCCTTGACTGTAATGGTTTTGGACCTCCTGTATTGTTCAACTTCTTGCTGCAAGACAAGAACGAATGAAGCAAACTAAGTTCAGTTATCATAACAGACGGTGTAAACATGAGGGAAGAAGAACACATCCAGCTGTAACGGGGGGCTCTCTGACGTTACATACCGGAGCCTTCCGGGCAACGTCAGAATGCTGCTGATAGAAGTTTTTCTCAAACTTCGGGAGCTCGTCCAGGTTCCACTGCTTCTTCCGCAGTCGATCGCCGGGATTTCCGAACTTCCCTCCACCTCCACCTCGGTTGCCACCAAAGCGAGGGGGTCCACCGCCATAACTGCAAATAAAGTCGGGTTTACAGGTCAGACTGTGTTCAGACCAGTCATTCACGACGACAACAGTTTAAAACCGAGTCCAACCTTAGCTGCGTGAATATGATAAATGAAACAGCTGCCATATACTTTCCAGCCAGCAGAGGAACAATGGAAAAACAGCCGGCATTTTGTATCCGCTTTCACACTGCCACATGGCGAAAAGCCGACTAGCCAGGTGTGTTAGCATCGCTACCCCGCGCTGGAGCCACAATGTTAGACGTTAGCTACACAACAAATATCGCTGGTATATAACACGTAAAATGCGTGTGTGCCAACTTAAGCCAGCGTTTGCCTTAGCTAGTATTGTGAATAACTGTCCTGGGGCGGCAGAATGTATACCGGGCTAGCTAACGGAAAGCTAGCCGTTATGCCGGGGCACGAGGCCGGTCGAGGCCTTTGGCGAAAGACAACGGGCTCCGTTCACCGGTCGGGTCCTTATGCGAATAAATAAAGTCACCCAACTGCCTGGTTGGTAGGCTCACAGTAAAATTTTTATATAAGATATCACCACGTTATTTAGTGAATCGGTTCGTTTTTCTCGGCTTTAAATCTCGCCGGCCATTTCTACGGATCACACGAGAGCGAACATGAGAAAATACACTTACCCGCGGTCTCTATCTCTGCCACGGTCTCTATCGGAATATCCAGGCATTTTGTAAACAAACTATATAAATAAAAAAATAAAAGATAAATATTTTACACTGTGCTTTTACTGCCGCCTGAAAACCAATCGGCAGCGGTACTGAAATGCCGGTAACGTAAAAACTAGGCCCAGTTTATAAGGCAAGAGGAAGTCCTGTTTCTAATGTATTCATCCGCCGCATTCAATCTCAGCTTCGCACGTCTGAAAATAGACCCACAGAATTCGCCAGCTGTAGAAAAATTATTCAGATCCTTTACTTAAATGGACGTACAAAAATCCGGAATTCACAGTGTTAATTAAGTACAAATATTTGCATAAAAATATACTTGAAGGAAAATTAAATATGCAGAACGGCCCGTGTCCCAGTAACGTCTCTGATACTGGATCATAGTGACTAATTACTGTGTCCATCACTTTAATGCTGCAGCTGGTAAAGGTGGAGCTGATGGTAACTACCTTATATACTTATACTGGGAAGTACTTTCCATCCTGCTGGGTAGCTGGTGGATTTCCTACTGGGATCAATAGAGTCTGATGGTTCTACTGGGTTTGGTTTGATTCATCTGATTCTGGAAAGGACCTGAAGTTATCAGGTACATGTAGTGTAGTAAAAAGTACACGGTTTGTCTCTGACAAAGTAAAGTCACAGGATGAAGGAGCAGGACATGGAAATATTCAAGTAAAGTATATGTCGAAATTGTAGCCTACATCAACAGACTGT